GCTCCTCGCTCAGCCAGTGAGCGGCCGGTCTGTATGTGGGATCCGAACCCTCGGCGGGAGCGCCGCCGCACTTCCCAAGCGGCGCACTGTCGCAGTGCACCACCGGGCCAGCCCCAAAACCAGATTTTTGAAGTAAATGGTAACCTAAGAGATTTTATGTGTACCAATTCAAGTGTAACATACAGCCACTTTAAAGCACATCCAGACATAGTGTTTTCAGGGATTGTGAAAATTTTATTAATAAAGAAAATCTGCATTATACACATCCCCTTTAACCCTCGGCGGGAGCGCCACCGCGCTCCCAAGCGGCGCACTGTCGCAGTGCACCACCGGGCCAGCCCCAAAACCAGATTTTTGAAGTAAATGCTAACCTAAGAGATTTTATGTGTACCAATTCAAGTGTAACATACAGCCACTTTAAAGCACATCCAGACACAGTGTTTTCAGGGATTGTGAAAATTTTATTAATAAAGAAAATCTGCATTATACACATCCCCTTTAAAAACCACCATCTCAACCATGTAGAAAAACTTACTTCCTATTTGCTATTTGATTGATGCCAGAAGAATGAAACCACAACACTAAAGTACAGACGAATATTTTTGAAGGGGATAATAATTATTTGAGATAATAAAGTACTAGAAAATCAGAAGAAATGAATAAAGGTATTTATTTCAAAGGCTAAACCACTAAGTCTTCATCCAAATGAATTTTTCCACTGTAAGTCAATATGGGTAAGCTATCAGTTCTTTTTAATGCTATCCTGAATACACAACGTACATCTAAAAACATAGTAGAGTTCTTGGCGTATAGTGAAAACTGATAGCCAGCATGACTTATAGAAATTTGTGGCTACATAGCAAGAGTTCAGGGACAGTCACTAGAAAATATAAAGATATTCTTCACGATGGAAAATGATTGGTTTTGCAGGGCAGCTTTTAAGCTAGTTTCTCATTATCTTTAACCACTCCATCGTTGTCCCTCAGAATCTCCCTTGGATACTCTCTATCCCACCCTTTACTGAAATTTTATGAACATATTCCAGAAATACTGCACACAAAAGGGAACTACAAGAATATTAAAAGATTCTGGTATCCTAGACATGAACAGAAAACACAGACATAAGGGGTTCTTGCTCTCAGAACAGCACATGACGTGTGCAGCTGCAGACTCCTCCAAAGAGAGCATATACACTTTTGATCCAAAGAGGAAAAAAGTTAGGCCTGTTACTTGCCTACAGTATCTAGGGCCCTGTGTAGCTATATTTTTAGGCGTGGTTCCAAGGAGCTGCCTACACAGATTTGGATGGAGCGAGGGAGGCACAGATGGCGGTCACGTGAAGGCACAGACCGATCGAGTGGGCTCGGTTACAGAGTCTGTACATTCAGGCTGCTGTATTCCTCCTATTTCAAGTAGTGCCAAGTCCCGGCTATTCCCCCTCCTTCCAAAGTCTTGATTCATTTAATTTTCCTGAAGGAGGTGGAAGAGGAGGAGGATTGCGCAAATCTTACTCTTTTATAGTTTAGGAGAGACAGTCACCATCTTGGCTCCCTGTCAGATTTTAAATGTAACATTTTGCTAAGTGTAAAGCTGTGTATCTGTTCCTTTTCTGTTGCCATTATTGTAACTTCAATATTTGCAAAACACAACATCAAAATACTTCAAATCCAGCCCAAAGCAGTTTGTTATTCATGCAACAGAATTCTTACATGTATCAATATACAGTGAGCTCACAGCAGAGGAATCTCTCTTTCTACTTTGTTTTTGTTCCTTCTATTCACTTACAATTTTTTTCTTTGGGGATTTAATGATTTGATCACATAATAGCAAATCCATATATATATATATATATGGATATATGGATTTTATATGGATATTCTACCATTATAAAGCTTATTAATCTGTGAATTCTTATAGGTTGCATTACTTAGAAAAAGGAAGCACATAAGCTAAAGTTACTCTACCATCTGAAATACTCTGTGAATCACTTGTAAAGCATAGAGCACCTTAATGATGTGAAGAATCTTCATTTTGTAATATACAAACCTATAGTGTTCTCTGTACAAAGTTATTAAGCATATTCAGGGTGTACTTCCAGCGGTGCCTGATTCATGGTAACTAGCATTAGAGCACTACTACTTTCTTACTCTTTAAAGGCAGCCTACAACATTCCAGATTCTCATTCTCTACTTTATGTAGGAAACTCTGTCAAAAATCAAAATAGATTCAGTTACTGAGAATTTTTTAGCAAGACAGAGTATTTTTCAGGTCACCATCAGGATGCTTGGTATTCTGTCAATGTAATGTTTGCATGTGATCAGTCCAGCTCCAGAGTCTTACCCACTAAACTCTTCAATGTACCTTCTTAGCCTGAGCTAATGTGTAGGGAGGCCATTTTTAAAGCAAGTCGAAACATAAAATGGTTTTAACATCTGTTAATCAGGTGTTTAATCTGGAAGACCTAAAGGTATTTACAATACTCCAGCTTCCTGACTTAACATTTCCCTTTTTATTTGGATATTTACATTGTGTAGAAATGGACATCATTAACACAGTCAATGGAATTATTCATCTATCTTCTAAGGTAAACAAGAAAATGTTTTTCTTTTCAGGTAGAATTTCATGATTAGTAAAGGATATCAGTAGGCAATTTGGAGAGGTAAATTGGGCTCAATTATTACCTTGAATTTCCACTTTTGACATTACATCCTATATAAAGAAGTTTCATGGTAACATTTATGCTGCATGAATTTCCATCTTGAGCTCCTTTCTTAAAATGTTGACATTGTTAAGAATTTAATAGTAACAATAATAGCAGAGAGAAGTGTCCCACCATAGGGAACTTGTGCTTCAAGTCATACCCACAGTCACAAAACAAAACTACCCTCCAAGTCGATGAACACATTGCTCAAATAAGGACTTCAAAACAGTATTTTGAGTCTCTAGGTTGACTGTGCATACAAATCAATAATAGGATTACATATCAACTATAGCTGCGTGAACAGAACAGATCAGCATTAGGCATTACCCAGTCTTCCTCAGGCGTACTTAGTTGCCAAGAGACATACTTTTCAACAGATCACAAATGTGCTATTTGTGTAAACATTTCCTATTACAGATGCTCTTGCTTTTGCTTAAATATGTGTTTTTAACCTGAGCTAGTAATTTTTAAAAAAACTTTTTTCCCTTGTAATTGTTTGGCTTCCAGAAGAAAGAATCCTTAGGCCTCTTCTCTTGTGAGAATAATTTCTCTTAACACCGACAGTGCTGCCTAAGTACAGCCAGAGCTCATTAAATAGACGTCTGTGCATAATTATAATTAACAATTAGCTAGACATTAGTTTTAATGATTTGTTTTAGGCGATAGAATAGAAGCATAATGTAATTATTTTTAAACCTTCTACATTGTTAAGAATACAACTACCACCACCTTTCAATTACTGAGAAGCAGACAATCATCCAAAGCATTTAGCAAGTGATTTACTTACAGAGCTGAACTAAGAGAGTGGAAGAGGTGCCGCCCCAGCCCAGGTGTTTATCATTGTTTAGCCTTTTGCCAAGTCTCTTCCTTTTCTGCTCTGCTCTTTAGGCTAGTTCTGCCTTGCAGACATCCCCACCAGGGAAAACAAAGAGATTCAACCTGGCGTTCAACTCTTCTCCTACCCCCTGCGTTTCTCCAACACACAGGATAATGGTGGCAGGTGGTGAGGACCCAAGGAAGATCCTACAACGTTTAGCAAGTGGGCCTGAAACACCAACTCACACCATCAAAATATGCTAAGGAAGATTATATAAGTAATGGATAAAACGAATATTAGGAATAAATTCCAGCCCGTAAAGACAGATCCATGCCACTCTTTCCCTGCTCAGTGTTCTTTTAACTTTTCATATCCCCAAATCAATTTGGATCTTGTTTTCCTCACAAGATTGTTAAAAAATGTAATAGAAACCTGAAGAAAGTCTTTTTTGTTGCTTGAAAAATATAAAAATATTCATTTAGAACAGCAAATATTATGTATTGTCAAAAGGGATTTCTTTCATTTCTTTCTTTTAAAAAAAGGGTTTTGTTTTTTTTTTAACCTCAGCTAGTCAGTGTGCTGTTTTCTCTCCCAACTCTGAGCAACAATGTTAGGCCTTTTGCTGCTGGCCTTTGGAAGCTGTTGGGGAGCGCATCCTGACACCCACATAAAAGACCTGGTACCTGTGTTTCCACATCACAAAGCAGGCCAACAAGCACACAAGGCCGCAGACCAAGTTAAGAATCATCTGGATGAGTAAGAACAGTTTGAAAGTGCCAGTGACGCTGGCACAGTCAGTCACATCCTGGTAAACAAAGGTCCTGCTGAGTGGCTCCAAGGAGGGCAGTTGGCACCGGCAGGAGTGGAGTGCGGTCTCACAGGTAAGCTGTGTGAGCAGCAAATAGTGGTGGGCAGCAAAGGCCGTGGCCAGCACACACACCGTCAGGCCGAGCGCACTCAGCAAGAAGTACAGCAGCTGCAAGAAAGCAGAAGAGAGCCCTCTGGTTACAAAGAACATTGGATGACTATTTGCAAAGCTAATTCATAAAAACTGGTCTTTTTCTTCTCTCCCAGGAAGTTCCCTGATGGAGAGACTGTCCTCTCCTCAGAAACGCAGAACCCAAGAAATGGAAATAGGTCTATGTTTATTCACTAGCAAGCAGTCCTTAACCCCTGATTAAATTTTTATTTGCCATACACGTGTTGGACCCTTTTCATGAATTGTGCCAATCATATTAGCTTGATGGTGGGATATTTATGTCTAGATGGAGCAAGCAGTTAGATGAATCCCAAACAAGATAGCCATCCCTCCATGCCATACTCTGCTTATTTTGACCTCAACAATTGTCAGTATTAAGATTTGCTATGGGTTAAATGTGCACCTCAGAAGCTCATGTGTGAAAACTTTCCCCTCCCCCATTCTAATGGTGTTAAGAGGGTGGGAAATCTGATCTGATTATGGTATTTGAAAGGTGGGGCTTTTAAGAGGTGATTAGATTGTGAGGACTGTGCCCTCGTATTGGATTGATCCATTCATAGTAATGGGCATGGTTCTGATGGCTTTGAAAGGAGAGTGAGTGAGATGGTTAGCTCTCTTGCTCAGCCCATTCTCACCATGTGATACTCTGTGTTGCTATAAAGAGACACCCCTAAGAAGAAGGCCCTCACCAAATGTGTTCCCTGGACCTTGGACTTCCCAGCCTCCAAAACTGTAAGAAATAAATTTTATTTCTTTATAAATTACCTGACTTCAGGTATTCTGTTATAAGCAACAGAAAACAGACTAATACAAAATTGAAACAAGACTAGGAAGTAAAGAATAGGTTTCTGTAATGCAAACACTGCACTGGCTACAATTAGCAATGATTGGTCAATTAATAACAGGTTAATCAAAAAAACAAAACCTATGTTCAATGTAGTGGTTGCCAAACTGTTCATGAACACCAGAATCTTCAGTGAGAGGCTACTGGGAGAAAAAAGTTAAGGCTCCAGAAGGCAGGTGACCTGATGTCAGCTTCATCATTTGTAAGTCGTATCCCAAGTCCCTCTACAACTATGTGGCTCCTGAGCATGAAAATAAACTCTAAATGGTTCCTCAGGCACCAAGGTTTTGAACACTGCTGCTCTACCTGTTAGCCTCAGGGTTGGAGAAGTCTGATTAAAGTTCTAACTCTGCTGCTAAAGATCTGTGAATCTCTGAACAATTCAGTCATTTAGCTTGCACCTGATATATTTTTATCAAAAATTGTGGCTACTCATTGACATGGCCACAATAAAATCTGTTTTACAGAAAAAGAAATATTCTTGTGACTGATTCACCTACTGGGAACATTTCTGTTAACGGTCTTCCTGCTGAGGTTCTAGGTAAAGGATCAGAGTCCTCATCTCTTGGGACTAGGACACACAGTTCTCAGTGCAAGATTTCTATTACTATAGTCAAAAGCTGCTCTTTGCAAGGAATGATTCTGGTGAATGGGAACTCCTCGAAGGAAGATTAGTTCCAGCCATTTCCAGGTTCTGATTAAAGTAACTCTGAAAAGATTATGTCCTCATCTCACCTCCAATTATATATAATTGGAAAAAAAAACATACAAGTATATATGGAACTACAAATTATTTGTACAAAAGTCCTCCGAATCAGTGATTTTCCACACAGTGACAATTTCAAGTGTTTTCAAGTCTTAAATGTAGAATACTTAAAATTTTATTTTTTCTCTTTCTTGAGTGGCGTGTGCATGTGTGTGCATGTATGTGCACATACTGGTTGCTGGTGGCCTAAGCATATGTCTAGTTTGCCTGTAAGGGCATCCACCAGGATCACATATAGCTTGACTGTATATCCAAGGTCCCTGGAAGAGAGTGGAACTGATTAAAGCCATTTTTGTCTTAATATATCTTAGTCTGTCTCACCTAAGGAGTACACGGATTCTTTGAATCTTCTTATCAAAGTATCCTAAACACACACCCTATTTTTTGTTTCCAAATCATTTGAAGGGTTGTCAGATGTAACCCAATTATCATCATCTGTGAAATAGTTTATGGAAACATCTTATATTTTAGGGATGTAACAAGGATAATTTATGCTCAACATGTTTAGTGTTTCTTGGAGGAAGCAAACCAGATAAATACAAAGTGGTCCCATCACAAAATTTAAAATGGAAATAGTGAAAGCATCTCCTTGGTCCTGTGCCCAATATTTTCAGTGACTATATTTTGTATAAAAGTTGGAGTGCTTGGGCTTTAAAAAAAATGGGCTTATTTTGTAGGGACAATGGGTCAGAATATTTGAAGTATTCAGGCTTGATGAATGGCTTCCAACTCTTGGTGCAAGAGCCGCATTAAACTAGGCTGGCCATGTCGTGTGTGTGTACCCACTGTAGCTATGATTCCAGTGCAGCCAGCAGAGAACTGGGAACTATTTGCTCTGGGGACATTGGCACTTCTACAACTTTACCAGCAGGAAAAGCCCAAGTTAAAGTGATAATTTCCCACCTGGCAGTCATCTACTTAGTAGAATGACCCCAACTGGAATTTTCTCTACATGTTTTATTGTCATCAGTTTCTGGAACTGGGGTGGGGGTGGGGTCTTGTGTTAATCCTCCTACCTTCAATAACACACATCTCCTTAAATACCAGATTTCTGTAACATTCATTCAGGCAATGTCTTTAAGCAATGACAATAATCCCTCATTCTCAATCTGCAAATAAATCAAATAGTTGCAAAGTGTATTCTCTTATGATAGTCACGAAAATCCATTTGCTGAAAATAGAAATTTTGTCTATTTTTAAAAGAGGACATTTTGGCTCAGAGATGAGAAGATTTACCCAAAACTGATTAACAAGTGCATAGCAGTACTGACATGAGCCAGGGAGCCAAACTGTCTGGGTTCAAATTTTGGTTCTCCCTCATTAGCTGTGGTCCTTGCCCAAATTAATCCATCCATGTGCACCTGGATTTCTGCATGTGTGAACTTGGAATGGTGATCATAAGGGCACCTACTTCATAGGATCATTAGAAGGATCAAAGGAATTGATATTTGTAAAGGGATTAGAACAGTGTCTGGTATGTATTTAAGTATCTGTGAAATAGATAAACAAATTAGTAAAGGTGGAAAGACCTGCCAGTTCTCAGGACTCTTAGGATATTAACTCTACTGGCTTTGTCTTATTCTCTAATATGTGGGAGTAACAATGCATACTTGGCTTGTAGAAAGGATGTAAACGTTTACATAAACACAGTGATTACTCAGTTTTAATTGAGCCTCTTAAATCTGCTAGAAGCCAGCAAGAGCACAAAGGAAACCCATGCCCCTTAAGTTCCTCTGAGTATGAATAAATTTACATCAGTGCATAGCTCACATGAGAGATTTGGCTTCACCCAGCAGGGAGAGCATCAGGCCAAGTAAGCTGGTGAGAGCCACAGCATCAAGCTTCTTATCCATTTAGGACATGAATATGTACCTGATCCTCCAAAGTGTGTGGGCTGCAGCCGCAGCGCCGTAGCATTTTCCCTGCACCGCTTCTAACTCAACTGACAGCAACAAGTTTCTGGGTTAGAATCTGTCATTTACAATCAAGTGGCCTGTTTTACCTACACGGCCCGAATGCTCTCAGTGAGAGTGTTTACGATGACCTTGGGAATCCGAGCGGGAGGGTCCTGACAAAAGCCGGGCGCGGGAGGCACGGGTCCCGCCGCCAGCGGGCAGGGCGCGGTGGCCCCGGGCACTCATGGAACG